TCGGCGAGAGGACACAGGAGGAAGATAAACTGGGCTCGAACCCCAGCTCATGTGACTCCAGGCAGGTTAGTCTTCTGCCTGCAAACTAGGCCCGTAAACACCTGTCGCCCGGGGTTGCTGGAAGGAGGCGAGAGTGCGTGGAGGCCCAGAGCAGTCTGCACTCAGGAGGAGTTTGCAGGGTCTCCCTCCTATGACTGCTTAGGAGAGAACCAATTATATTTTTATCTTTAAAAAATAAAAATTGTGGTAAAACCTACACAACACAAAACTTACCATCTGAGTCATTTTTAGGTGTAGTATTAACAGGTGTTGTGCAACAAATTTCCAGAACTCTCTTTGTCTTGAAAACTGAAATTCTACACCCATTAAATACTGCCTCCTGTTTCCCCTCCCCCGGCCCAGGCAACCACCACGCTACAATCTTTCTCTATTTAATGTGACAACTCTAACACCTCACAGCAGTGGAATTTGTCTTCTTGTGACCGCCTCATTTCAGATAACCAATTTTTTGAGATTACTTTTGGAGACTTGACACATTTTTATACTCCTACAAAAGTTTTGGCAACCGCATGTTACATTGCTATATTACATGATTATCCAACTATTTAGATAAAAACATGGAGTTTTCCAAAGTAAAGATGATCACTTATAATGAGTCAGATCGTGTGAGGTGCAATGGGTGGATTTTACACATGCAGCCAATTCCCAAGCCGCCTGCCGTGTCTTGGCCCTGTGCCTTATCCCTTTGCCTGCTCCATGAATTCCTGGAGGTCAGGCATGCCTGGAACACAGTAAGACTACAGTAAATACTAATAAACTAATCAATAAGTTGATAAATCATGGATTCAGATCCTGTTTTATGAATTGCTAGCAGAAAATGTTCATCATGGTATTTCCCTTACCATTGATTCTTTTAAAAAAATATTTTAAATTGATTTTAGAGAGAGAGGGAGAGAGAAACATTGATGAGAGAAACATTGATCTGCTGCCTCCTGCACGCCCCCTACCAGGGATTGAGCCCAAAACCCAGGCATGTGCCCTGACCAGGAATCAAATCAGCACGGGAAGACACTCAACCAACTGAGCCACACTGGCCAGGGCACCTTTGATTCTTTACTCATCAACTGAGGGCACTTAAAGAATGGAAATTACTTAACTATCAACCTAGGCAAACACAGTTTCAAGGACACAGCAGGTGAAGCCGCTGCAGAGGCTTTTGAAAGGCAAACCCAGGTGGCACTTGGACCTCTGACACTGTTGTGTCCCACCAGCTTCCCCATGTCCATGCACAGGTCAGAGTTGCCTCATTTTCATCTTCTGGGGCACTGATGAATTTTCCACAGCAGGATCAGCAAACATTTAAAACTTCAAGTACTCAGGACTGGTCAGGATGCGGGAAGCAGGGTGGCATACACAGCGCAGATGGGAATCTAGACCTTTTAGAGACAATGACAATTTCTCGTGCATTCTCCCCTTCCCCCCACCAGCCCTGCACATTCTAGTTAATGTATTCCGCAGAGATAATCACCCAACGGTCAAAGCTACACGGTGTGGCAAGCGGAATGACGGTCCCGCAGCAGCTGAGAACCCGTGAGTGTCAGCTCACAGCAGGGGGTCAAGGCTGCAGCTGGGATGGAGGCTGCTGCTCAGCTGACGTTGCCAAAGACGCTCCGGGATTCTACCAGGTCAATCCAAGGTAACCCCAAGGTCGCTTCATCGCGCATGAGGACAGCAGAAGAGTCACGTAGAAGTGACTCCTGCTGGTGAGGGAGGGACTTGGCCGGCGTCCGCTCACTGTCAGGACGGGAGGGGCCCTTCAGAAGCTGGGAAAGGCCAGAAAAGGGACCCTCCCCTCCAGTGTCCAGCGAGGAATGCGGCCCTGCCTTCCCCTGACCTCAGCTCAGGGAAATCTATTTTGGGTTTCTACCTCCCAGAGCTGGAAGGTAATAAACTTGTACCGAGTTAGTAACACTTTGCCACAGTAACAACAGGAAAGGAACACAGTGACAGAAGATGCTCACCGCTGCATCACTGTGACAGAGCGTGGAGCCCCTAAAGGCCCGCAGTAAAGCCTGGTGAAACTGTGTCATTTCCACGGGTGCTGCGGATGCAGGCTTTCAGCAAAGAGGACCCTGGAGGCTACCACGCTTTCTGCTTTTGGCGAGGGCTTGCCAATCAATTAAAACAGAAGAAAGGAAAACAGAGCAGAGAAATTCCAGCTAATCGACTGTCCTGCTCATAATTGTAGAGCAAATATAACAACACCGAGGCTGCGGGACTTCTGAGTCACCCAGTCTTACTTCGTTCTTACCGTAAATCTATAAATATGCCCAGCACTTTGCTAAACACTGGAAAATGTAGAGAACAGAAGCCGACTCACTAGAGGAGGAGGTGGGGCAAGAGAATTATACTAAGTGTAAGAAATGCCCCGGCTGAGGGAAGCGCAGGGACCTCGGGGGCCTGGGAGGTGGGGCTCGGGGGCACCACCAGGCGGTAGGGATGCCCGAACCCAGTCCCCAAGGACAAGTGGGATCAGCCAGACAGAGGAGACTGACGGCCGGCCGGGGGAGCGGCTTACCCAGGTTAGTCGGCATGATGTCCAGCCTGGGTGTGTGGTGGGCGGCACCGGGAAAGACCAGTAAGCTCTAAAATGCCTCACAGGACTTTTACATACTTAGCTTTTTTATGTTCTCTGAACCTCAGTTTACCCAACTTCATAAGAGAACCATAAAACCTTCCTTGGAGGAGAGGATTAAGGGATTTGCCCAGAGTCTCAGGCCAGGGGACCCCGCCCCGCCCCGCCCTCTGGGCCTGGCTGCTCCCAGGGGAGCCCCGGCCCCCTGCAGGCTGGAGCCCCGCTGGTTCTCTAAAGCCCAAGGCCCTACAGAAGGATAAGCATGTTGTGGTTTATTCTAATCATTTAGATTGAACAGATCATTGCTTTTAACACACAAAATACAATGGAACAAAACTGTGGTTCACAGACTAAAACTACATGAATTCCAAGTTCACCGCAGGCCGTGTGCTCCGGTGGAGAGACAGATTTGAAACCTCACGACGAGTGTCCTCCTCCCCAGCCCCTCGGGGCTCTGGCTGCAAGGCCTCGCTCAGAGGGGCCTCTGGGCGCCACCCCAACGCCAGCCCGGGCTTGGCCGCGTCTGTGCCCACTGGAGAAGCAAACCGTGCGTCGGGGTCATCTGGGGAGTTTTTAAAAGTACTGCAGCCCGGGCCCCGCTCTGGGTTCTGACTCAGTCAGTCTAGAGTGTGGTCCAGGTATCGGAATATAGTACATAGGGGACACTGAGAAAGGAGTCCTTTAAAGTTTTATCAACACGTTTACAGAGATTTCCTAAAGTCAAAGAATGGTTAAAAAAAACAAAAGTGCTCAAAGGCAGCACAAGGCGGCTTGATGAAAAGGCCTGGCCGGGACAGCCACGGGACAGCAGGGGACCCGCAGCCGGCAGGCAGAGCACAGGGAGCTCAGCCTGAAGAGCAGCGGAGCAGACGCTGGCACCTCAGGGAGCAGCCGGGTGCCCGGGGAACTGTGAGCTGTCTGTAAAGTTCACCAGTGTCACGCGGCGGCGATCACCCAGGCAGTGACGGCGTCCCCGGGAAGGACAGGGGACATGGCCCTCAACACCGTGTTGGTGATAAGCGCTGGTCAGAGGGCCGCTGCGGCGCCCAGCACACGTAACTGTGGAGAGTCTCAGGCCTTGACCGGAGCGGCCTGTCTGCTGCGGAAACGTGGGCCTGTGCCCCGACCTTGGAGGTCAGTCGTCCATTGCACCCCTGGCTAGCGGGGCAGTGATGAGGTGGCCTGAGAACTGAAATGAGAGCCTTCTGAGAGCCGAGCTACAGAATCAATACCTGATAGACTGAAGAGTCCTGCTAAGGAGACGGACGCGACCACATAAGCAGGGACTCGGCGAGACACGGGGATGGTTGTGATCTTACATCAAACTGGCTATAGTTTTGTGAATATTTATATGGCCACGGCGGAAACACAACTCTTCTATTTTTCTGCATTCGTCTTATTAAATAAATGCCTTCTTGACCACTGGAGACAGAATAATTTTAATACTCCATTGAGGTTGAGAAATGACCTTTATTTGTAAAAGGTGAACATGGCTGATCTGCACTAATCACACCATTTTGAAGAAAACAAAACAATATTCAATCTTTTTTGGCCTATAAATAAATAATACCGTGCTTGACTTTCCTATGAGCCAAATATAAGGTTGGAAATGAGAAAACTGGATAATGCTCGTGGCTTTATTTTTTAAATATGTCTTTATTGATTTCAGAGAGGAAGGGAGAGGGAGAGAGATAGAAACATCAACGATGAGAGAGTCATGGATCGGCAGCCCGACTGGGGATCGAGCCCGCAACCGGGCATGTGCCCTGACGGGGAACCGAACCGCGATCCCCCGGATCCTAGGCCGATGCTTGTCCGCTCAGCCACGCCAGCCGGGCAATGCTCATGGATTTAAAGGTGTCAGACCGTATCGGATTCTGAGAAAATGGCCATGGCGGTGAACTTGGTAAAGACGACATTTAAGGTTTATACACAAACCTGCAGGGCCTGGCTGACAGACTAAAACACTTCCAAGTCCTTCACCAAGAGAACAGCAGTAAAATTAAAGATGGGAGTTAAGACTCTGCTGTGTCGTTAGGAGCAAACATAAGAGGGCCGTGTCCAAGGGCCAGGAAAATCCCGCTGCCACCACGTTCTGGCCGACGTGTGCCGACTTGTTTCCCTTTCAAACATTGTCCCCTTATTCTGGTTTAAACTGGACCTTTGGACACAACAGCCCAGAAGCGTCGGCCCGCCTCCCGAGTGGGCTACGCCGCGGCGGTGGCCCAGGCTCGCTGCACCGGAGGCGCCGCATAGAAACAACTCCGTCAGCAATTAAATAGCAAGACCAGGCTCAGGCGGACACCCTCGAGTTATAAACATGTATCAGGATTATTAACCACATAAATAAAGACAAACAATGGCATGAAGGGCATGATAGTTTATTTTAAAAAAACTGTACCACACTGACCTTGACGACCAGCATACACGTTATGATGGCTTTTCTCTTGGGCATTAACATCGCAGTATCTCTGTGTACTGAAATGTTTCAACAGGACCAAGAACGTTAGAGCAGGGAAGATCTGAGATGGGAATGAGCACTAAGAATTCAGGTGTCCTACCCAGAGAATTAACAGCCTCCACGGCCCGGCGGCACAGCACCGCTGTCGCCATGAATGAAAGTTCTGTCGGCAGTGTGGGCCTGCACTTCCCGCGCCTTATCTTTAGTTTGTACAATTTAACCAATGTCCCTGCGGCCCGAGCACAATCAGGCCGGACACCTCGGGTCACTTCCAGGCTACCACAGCACAAGTTTAGTGATCTTACTTAAAAAAAAAAAAAAATTCAAGTCAAACCACCATCAAAATAGAGGCAAAGAAAACTAATTTTCAAATCATTTGAAAAGCATGTGTCTAATACAGACCCGAACTTAAATGCTGTCATTATAATCTCCCAACTTCTGCCATAAAATTAACATTTACACACATAAAGGTTTTGCTTATCAAACCGTATTTTGCAATCACTGAGAGGAAGTTACTTTTTCAAGAACAATGTATTTGGTTACAGTCCCACACGTCCGCAGCAGACAACACCGCGTGATGTTAAATCTGGCTCTGCGTTACCTAAGGTGCAAGATTTTCATCAAAATTAGGATGCTCTGATCTTAAAAACCCAACCCATAGGAGATTACTTTCAAGAGAAATTGTGCTGTTGAGTAACTGTTTCAGGTCACCCTCTTCTTCAGTCGCTGTGACGGCCACCATTTCACTGACCCCGACCTCTCACTTCCAGGTCACCATTCCAACGCCCAGGGGCTTCTGACCAGCTCAAGGTCTCACTTCACAAAAACAGTAGATTCGTTAACCTTTCAGTGACACGTTTTACATCTGTAAACGCAAGGATCACACTGTTCAGCTCAGCAACTGCGAGAAACATTGAGATTCCGGCATTTCCAGCCAGAATCCCTTTGTGCTTTTTAAATGCAGCTGCTTTGGAATCTTTTTGGTATTTCTCAGCCATTTGTATTTCCCTTATAATGATAAAAGACTATATTTAAGATGATTTTTAATGTGAAATGTCCTGGGGGTTTATCGGTACTTAAAAAACAAAGTTACTTCTCGCTCTCAGCATCTGGAATAGTAGGAAGTATTTGTGGTCCCTCCTTAGATCAACCCTACTTTTCACCACGTGTAACACTGAATTTTACAGACATCCCTGAAAAGTGTTTGATTAAGTAAACGAGTGAATCACAGTGGAGTCTCGAGCAGTTAACAGTGTAGATCCATTAAAAAAAAAAAAATCGCACTGAATAGTAAAAGAAAATCTTCAAGCTAAAAAGAAAAGAGAGAAAAGCCTCCTAAGTGTCCTCACTGATTCTGGGCTGTGTCCCCGGCTGACCAGCCCCCTCCACTTCCTCCGGGCTGGGAGACGTGTCCGTGTGACCTCCACGCCAGGTTCCCGGGACGCCGGCGTGGGGGCCACCCTGCTGGAGCCTCTGAGGGAACCGAGTGGCGCCATCTCCCCTCTAATGGACTCCCGGTCCCGGGTGAGCGTCGAGTCTCCCTCTGCTGTGCTCACGTGACCAGGAGACGAGACCCTCGAGCAGGTGACAGCTGATCCCCCCACCGCCCCAGCGCCAGCGAAGTCGCCGGCACCGGCCACTGTCCGCCCTGGCCTTTCGCTCTCTCTCAGTCAGGAGTTGCGGTTACTGAAGGAAGGGGGGAGGGAGAAATGAAAAACCAGGAGTCTAAAGGCACGAAGTCGAATAGCTGCTCTAGCTGGAGTTTGTAAACAGGACAGGCTGAGTTTCGGGGCCCCGATCTGTGAGAGGGAAAGGCATCGGGGGGCTGCGCCGGGCCCCCGACCCTGGGGGTCCGAGGTGAGCCGCGCACGCACTGAAACACCCACCCTTCAGGAAGCAGTAAGGCAAAGAGTATACTCACTATCCCCCAGTCACAGCGGCGGTGTAGGCGCGCACAGCGTAACTTAGCGACAGCTCGGCCGCGCGGCCGCCTCCTCCCTACGTCATTACGCGTTCAGCCCGGTTCCCGTCGACACGGGACCGGCCTTGTACCAGCGCCGAGCGTTGGCAATCGCTCTGATAGCAGTTTTTACGCTGCTGCGGAAATTATTCTTGAACTGGAACGAGTCCGCCCTCCGACGTCCCGTCGTTAAACACTGTCATACTTGTGAAGAGCTTCTTCCAACTTCTGCGTCACTTTTTGGAAAAATATTATTTGCTGCTGTAAGAAATGCTGCATCTGTGATTTGAAGTCTCTGACGCGAATCTGATGGAAGTGGTGAATCTCAGCCAGGGTGGCGAAGGAGATGGTGTTGCAGCGGTCCTGGATGCCGTCCGCCTTCTGCACCTCCATCTTCCCCTCCTCCACGTGCCGCCGACTCTCCTTCACTTTGGTAAGAGCCCCTGCGGTGAAAAAAGTTTAATTATAAACTTGGACACAGATCCCAGCGGCATGGCCACAGCAAACGGCCACGGGCAGCGAAAACACTCGCCTGGGCTACACCGAAGCCCTTTGGAACAGAAAGGGCGGCCGGGCGGCTTAGTTACCAGTTACAGAGGAGGGAACCTGAAGGTTTTGAACTGTCCCGAGAAAGACACAAGAGCCTCTGCACTTCCATGTTAGGAGAAAAGGTGTGACCGTCACATACACACATAGAGATGACAAAAGGAGGTCTATGGTTGTTTGTATGGAAAATAATACAATAATTAATAATAATACAACAATAAACTTTCGTGACTCACAACTGCAAACCTACTTTTGCCCGCCCTATGTGTTAATTAAGAGAGTTTTATCTATGAAAACAACATGCCAGAGGGGACAAACCCACGTCCTCGGAAAGTCCCCGGAGGGGGGAATCCCTCTCTGAGGCTCCGGGCCTGGCCTGGGAAGCACGGAGCAGGGCTCAGGCCTTGGTCCCGAAGCCAGGCCCTGCGTGAGTGGCTGCCCTCCGCCGGCCACCAAGCCCGTGACTGTCGGCTGCACAGGGTGAGCGACGCATGGGCCCGGACCCGACTCCACAGTGCGTCAGGAGACCCGCCCCTGGAGAATGGGGTCCTGTGGAGTAAGAGTTCACCACCTTCCCTTAGGGCTGTGCAGATGAGCCAGTTTGGAGTCTGCCCTAAGGATGACCTGGGAAGGAAGCCAGAGGTGCAATAGCCTCTTGTTAGGAATGTCACCAAAAGCTGTATGCGAGGGAGAAGGGAGGGGACTGTGACCCAGCAGGTGCCACACGGGCAGACCCTCCGCCCAGGCACAGTCACGTGAAGACACAAAGGCTGACAGTTTAGGGGCAGGAAGCAAAGGATGCCCATGGTCCTCAGAAATGAGTGACAATAAAGTTCAGATCACCCGACACTCAACTAAACCAGGGGAGAGAGAAGCGCCCAGGACACCGGGCGGCACCCTGAGGACGGGACACTGAGGGGAAAGGCAGAGGTGGGGGAGCCGTTTCAGAAACATGTTCAGAAATGTTCAGGTTTAGCCAATGATGAAATACACAAAGGAAAAAGCCCTATTTCTAAATCTCTTCAAACCTCCTATAAAATAATATAGAGCAAACGCAGCATTAAATAAAGCCCTCAGAGGTTAACCAGTGGGTGCTTTTTTTAGACACAACTCAAAGGCCCGAGAATGGAAAACCCAAGGACAACAAATACATGCATTTGCATGTGTGTGTGTATATTTTCATTTTTTTCTACATGAAATCTTTTTTATTTTTATTTTTTTAATAAATCTATCTTTATTGACTTCAGAGAGAGGAAGGGGGAGGAAGAGAGACAGAAACATCAATGATGAGAGAGTCACTGATCGGCTGCCTCCTGCACGCCCCTGACCAGGAATCAAACTGGGACCGCCTGGATCCTAGGTCGATGCTCAACCACTGTGCCACGCTGGTGGGGCAATCTTTTTTTTTTTTTTTTTAATCCTCACTAAAGGACATGCTTGGGCAGGTGGGGAGGGAGAAAAACATCAATATGTCGATCGGTTGCCGTCTGAAGGTGCCCCAACAGGGGATCAAACCCAAAACCCAGGTATGTGCCTGACCAGGAATCGAACCGGTGGCCTTTCAGTGCATGGGGCGATGCTCAACCGCCTGAGCCACACCGGCCACAGCTAACCGCGATCTGCAAGTGAAAAGCAGAGAGAGCCCACTCCCACTTAACCCACGGCCGAGATGGGGTCAGCTCCACAGAGCAGCCACGGTGTTTGCATTAACCTGGTCCAGGCAGACCCCAGATCGACTCTACTGAGAAGCCAGATCTCTGAAAGTTTGGCACTTTTTATACCAGGAAGGCATGAGACAGAGCTAAAGGAAACGTGTTCAAAACAATGACTAAGAATAGGAAATTATGAAATGCAAGTTTAAAATGGTTAGAAAGAAAAGCAGAGAGGGGAGGTGGAGAGGAGTCTCAGGGGAGCTGTTTCATCAGATCCGAAGGGAGGTGCAGGCCCACTGTGCGCACAGGGTGAGCTCTGGGGGACCGCCCTGCTCTGATTCCAGGGTGTCTGCGGGCGTTGCTACCTGTGTTGGTGACCGTCTGCAAGTGTCACCAGCTCTGGGTTTGGGCTTGGCCTCGGCCTGGCCTCTCGCAGTGGACAATGCCGTCCAGCAGGGAGGGAGGAGCTCCGACACTGCTGGAGCTGGGTGAATGTCAAACTCCACACGCGATCACCACATTCTCAGAACCACGCTCTATGACACAGCTGCAGACGTGCATCTACAAAACTCACTTACAATAAACAAGTCTGACGTTTCCACAGCCTATCACATGGGCACACATTTCGAAACCCTTGGGTCCAGCAGCGAGGACTCAATCTCTCCGAGGCCTGAGGGCCTTTTGCATTAACACCTTTCAGCTTTCTAAGTGGACATACTTAAGGGATCAAAGAGAACCTGACACTCATTTTTCTCTCAAATATAAATTCATTTAGGAAATAGCACAAATATTGTTCTTGTCCAAGCCCCAAGGGTTCTGGGGCAAGACCGTGAACTCATTTAACAAACCTTCCTGGAGGACCTAGCGTGTGGGAGCACAGGGCTACAGCCAGAGACTCAAACATTTCAGCATCCAAGTCCCACCTCCTGTGAGTTCCTGCGAAGCCACCTCGCACAGCACACTGAGGACAGGCCCACCGCCACAACACAAAGTGAGACAGGGCTGTAAGCCAGTAATTCTGCCCAAAAGCTGATCATGTCCCAGGGAAAATGCTCAGAGAACCTGCAGCAGGCAGGGCAGGGTGCCGGGGGCGGGTGGGGGTGCAGAGGGAGCAGGCACATAAAACAGTCAACAGTAGCTGCCAAAACAGCAACAGTGCATGCTGGGCACCTCCCATCCAGGGCCTCTAACCCTGCTGCAACTTTACAACGAGGAAACTGAGAAAGCTACGAGACCTCTCTGAGCCTCAGATTCACCAGATCACCAAGGAAGAGATGGGATGGGATCCGAGAGTGTAATGGACTTCAAAGCACACACTATAGGTGTTTAGAAAAGAAACTGGAGAGTGAGTGGGAAAAAAGCAGGGTGGGCCCAGGTGAGCAGGGTGCTGGGGGACAAGGCTGGGCAGAGGGGGATCCGCTGCCCCCACACCTGTGTGGGGCTCCCACTCACCCTCTCCCTCACCTTCCCCACAAGGTCCTCACCTCTTATTTGACATGCATTTCAGAGACCTCTGAGTATATAAAAGAAACTCTACAGGTTTTGACATTTCCCTCTGGAATCTTACTGACCTCATTCAACTCACTAATTGTGCCCGTAAAGTGCTTTACTATTTATAAGATGTCTGATTTCCCCATCTTTGTAGTAACACAATTAGGATGCCACAGAACAAAATACTGAAAAAGCAGCACAGAAATCTAAGCCCAAGCTTACACGGAGGGAGGGGCTGGGTCCCGCTATCCCATTGGAAGACGACATAAATGATATAAATTAAGAACTACCACTGACAGTAACATACGATCCCTTTAGGAATGCATGGGCTTGGCTTTCCTGTAGGTGGGCATCCAGGCAAAAAATTATTCTGCAGACTAGAGACGAAGCACAGAACAAACCAGCACGGAGGGTAAGCATGGAAAAGCCAACTCTACCTGAAATTTCGGTTAACTCATTGGCATAATGTACTGGGGTTGCAGGAGCCGGGAGACACAGGACGTGTTTTTAAAACGAGACGTGGTTCCTGTTTTAGGGGCTCAAGTTATTTCTGAGGTGACAAATTTACACGCCTGAAACAATTAAGGACCTACACACAGTTTGATGCGACAATCCTCAAGCTGGAAATTATCTATCTGTACACAGTTCTGCGCTGTGAAATATTTTCATATTTAAAATTTTAAGTATCACAGGAAAGGCACAGATGGCCCAGTTTTCAATCAGGTCTAGCCTCTAAGGAGTGAAAGCCTGAAGGAAACTGCTGGGCAAAGGCAGATGCTACAGACTAGCCCCCCTCACTTCCTGGGTCTTCCACAAATTAAGTAAGTTGCCTGCGGCTACAATGTAACCAGCTGTAGCACAGCAGAACCCCGTCTCTTAGGCATTCTCTCAGCCGCACCGCATTCAAAACCAAGGGGAGTGCACACTTTTTTTCTCTCCATATCACAGAATCCAAAAACAGGCAAAGGTTTTCCAAACCTCTACTTCTTATGTGGCTAGTGGAGGAGGAATCCGTCCCTGCCAGCCCCTCGTGAAAATGCCACATCACTTTCAAGACAGAACAGGGACCCGAGAGAGTAAGGGAGAGAAATTATACAGTAAACTTCAGGGGGAAAAACGGTCACTGTCGGATTAAACAAAAGACCCACAATACTCATGGGGATGGCCAACAGCTTTAAAAGAAAATTAAAAACAAGAGAGATCAGTGGGAAAACATTTCAGAGTGGGGATGTCAAGGACATAACTATGAAGTTGTTTCTTGGGCTAACAGAAAGACATTCAATAGTGGTATCTGGGATAATACATGGACACAATAAGATTTCATTATGAAAACAAAATGTAGGCAAGTATTCAATCCTGAGATTCAATAAGGAAGGACTGACAAACAGAACAGTGTATCTTCCAAAAGGGCAGTAACACATAGTTCAGAAGAAGATACAACTTACAAGAAGGCAACACTTGACAAAATACAGCCTCCCCCCCACCCTTACACAGCAGAAAAAAAATTCTCAAAATGTACTCAGTGTCCAGAAAAAAAGTATTACTGAGAGTGAGGTGATGTTTCAGCCACGCCCACCACAGTGCCACACCCACCACTGGGCTCTGTCCACAGCTGCCTCCAGGCCACCAAGCCCACAGCGTCTCAGCCACGATTCTTCCTGTGAAGGGGCAGGGGGAGGGAACATAGCCTCCTGAAGAGGCTCACAGGCTGACCATGAACCCTCAGCTGAGCTCCAGTTCATTATTAAGTTAGC